TCATAATATTACAGCCGCCTGAAAAGGTCTAAAACGGGACATTGACCTTGAATGTTTTCTGCATTTAGCTCATGGTGCTTAACATTCAGGAAAGAATATAACTGCAACTCATTTATTAATGTATAATCTGAAAATGTTAACTATTGCTCTGTAAATACATGCCATGCAGATTACGGAAGGCTCATAGGATACTATAAAATGTGTTTGGTATTTTACCAGGGTACATATGTTGGCAATACAGCATAACGAAAGTCACTTTTTCCCATTGGAGCTACTGTACTTTATAATTTATTTTTTCCTGATATTTTACCATGTATATCATTAGCTTGACAAAATGAAAGTAAAATAATCCCGAATTAATTAAACAGAAACCAAATTGCCTCCATCAGTTTCTCTTCCTTTGATTCTTTTTTTTTCCCCCACTTTCACAAACACTGGGAAGAGTTTGGTGGGTTATGGAGGTGAGGTAATTGCTCCCCAGAGAATGGGCTTTTCACATGGACTTGGTAATTTGGGAAGGGGATGGATTTATAGGACAAGAGGTTTGTCAAAAGGAAAGGTTTTTATTAGTGCTTCTGTGGAAGTGATCACTTTCCGTAGAAATGATTGCTTCTTGCCAATCGAGACAATAATTTAAATATCAAAGCCTGTGCCCTAGAAATGAAAGGCAACAGAAAATGAGGTATGATGAATTGATAGCAGTTGGGTAGTGATATAAAGTGGTCATGCTGATTCCGAAAAGGAGTCTTCCTGTTCCCCGTGGGAAAGGTACGTGCTGAAGCAGGTTTACAACGTAAGAGAATTCCCGAAGCACAGATGAGCAAAGTAGGGGGAGACAAATGAGGTGGACCCGCTCAAGGCCACCCAAGTCCTGAGCAGGGCAGAGGGGATCCTCCTATCTAAGCCTCTTGCTTGCCCATCAGCGTTCTTTTCCCAGGGATGTTCACGGTGGGTTTTCCTTCAGAGTGAAAGATAGCAGTTTTTAACAGTCTTGGCTTGCTTTTTGCAGTATGGTACATTATCCTATACATAGTCTATCAAAGCCAGCAGGGAAGATGGTTCAAAAAGTTAAGCAGCTTTTTAAAGGTTTTACGGTCTTGAGGAAAGATCCACAAAGGTAGATTGTAACGCCATTTGCAAATCTAAATTTGTTAGGCCTTGTTTAGTTTTAAATATTTAACAGATGACCAATGTGCAGTATAAAATCAAATTTGCTTCAGAAATAGCGTGACAACTATAGACATTTTAATACAGATTAGTCCTGTTCCTTTTCGCAAAAGGAAGATGGGAACTAAATATAGCTATTAACGTGCAATAATGGCAAGAATGAACATTTCTCATCATCTTTTAGTGACGTAAGGATTCATTGTTGGGATGTTTTAGGAAATGATTCTGACTAAAACACAGTAAAACTTCCGGTATAGAACACAGGAAGCTACCTTTTGTTGGCAGGTGAGTTTTGCTGGTTGCCTGTCTGTTTTTTTGAAATGGAAATGAAGTATATTTTCCGCTGGTGTCTGTGCATGAGTCAGGGCCTAAGGATGAAGTTGTTTGGATATTTCTGACCGCACCGTTTAAGGAAAAAGAGATTGAAACTATGCGCGGACCCAGGGCCTGATGCATAATAGATGGATATTAAGTAATTTATTAATACTCTGTGTGAAACCGTCCTTTTATTTAGTTCCATGTATCCTGCTTTGGGTAGACTCCTTGTGGTAAGATTGTGAAGTGTATTGCCTGATTAGCAATATGTGTTTATTCTAGGCTGTTTATCTATGTTTGTTTCATTTTTTCCCTCGTATCCTTTGTAGTTGAGATTCTAAAGGTTTATGCTCAGTATTGCTCATGATGTGTTTGTTTCCTGTGATTATCCACTGTTTCCCCCTTCAAGGTGAGACAACTGTGGCCGGGGAAGATTCTTGAGATGACTAAGCTGTGTGTTCATAAAATATTCTGGGAGCCGTTTCGCAAGTTTAGTGCAGTAGATATTATTTCAAATTTTAAATTGGTTAAACTGGATTCAAGACGGTAGGTGTAATCTTAGGTCCTTGACTTGTGAAGGTAACGCTCTATTCCCAAAGGGAAGCATCCAGATCCGTGTGTGCACGTACACTCGTATACTTCTGGCAATTCAGAAAGCAGCTAGCTCAGTGGACACTGTATCTTGCGTTGATGAAATATGGTGAGTGAAAGATCAGTGGGGACTATACACTGGATGTTTGTGCATGTTTCTCTGTAAGCACAGAAAAGACCTACACACGGACGAATCTGAATATGTTTAAAATATATACCAATGAGATCAAATGGTTCATACTTGGGCAAATAAGTACCCAAAGGGAAATAAGAAAATTCCAGGAAGTACAAGTTAACTCCTATGAAATGTGGTGACTTAAGGTCCATCGGTAAATAATTAACTGCAAATCTTGTCTTTGAGAAGCCATTTCAAAGGAGTAATAAACAGGTTCTGTCACAGCATGATAATGCAAAGAAACCAAATACAGTACAGGATTCTGCACAGGTGCAAAATCTGAATGTGTTAAGTACTTTAAGATGGGTTGAGTGCATTAAATAACATTAAATAATCTTTATTTAGAAAGAAAAAGTCTTGAGAAAAAATATAAGAAACTTTTTTTTTGGTATATTACTGAAAAATGTGTACAACTGGATCTATCAATTACCCTGAGAATTTTAGTTTGTTCAGAAATGAAGATCGTGATCTTTGAACCAAAGATGTTTTTCTTTCTTTCTAATGCAGCTTCCATATTTTTCATTGTATTTTAGAAAAATCATGTTTCTATTTCAAATGGCTTTTTATTTATTTTTTTTAATTATAAAATGATTACATGTCTCATTTTAGATTGAATAGACCAATCTTTTTTTCTTTTTTTTTTTTTTTCCTGGTGTCTGCAGAATGCTTGGATTTTCTTCTACATCTCAAAGCTCTTTTAATTCACTGCTCACAACCAAATTTACATCTTAATTGCAGAGTTCACATTTAACAATATAGACAGCATAATGCTACTGGTAATTAAGCTTTTACTACCTGCTTTTATACAGTATTCTCAGGCACAGTTTTTGCTATGTGAGTTCTCATCTAAAAACTTGTATGAATTTAGCCCACAAATAAAAGGAATCAGACCCATATCTTAGATATGGCTAAATACATGGCAGGGAAATTGCTTTCTTCTGTGGGGGGACCAAATCATGTCTGTCATTTTTACATTCTGAATTTTAATGTGGCTGTTCTATTTTAGTGTTGTTTTTTTTTTAAAGACCTAGAAAATTTGAAAGGGTTGAGAGAGAGAGTTGAGTTCTGATTTAGTGACTTCAACTCACAGCAAATATCTGAACTAATTTATTTTGATCTCAAAGATTATACTATTTATATCATGGAACACTTAAGATGCAAAAGGTTGGTAGCAGTAGAGCTGACTTGTATCAAAATGTGGGTCTTCCAATCTCCGTAAGGTAGTAGCTTGTCATAAATAGTTGGTATCTATTCCAATACGTTTGGTCGTATAAAATAGACTGTGGTTTAAAACAGGACCTAAGAAAACTCTTTGTTATACGGAAACTAAAACGCCTTACACATTATTGAAGGGAAAATGCCTTTCTCTTCTTACACCACGTTAAAAAAAAAAAAGAAAGAAAGAAAGAAAGAAAACAACACTTTTGATTGAGAATTCTTAGTTTCCTAAATTATCATCTGTAGTGGCCAGACTCTGTGATGATTTACAAAATGCTTCTGGATTGATTTTTTTAAAGCATTCAGAGTGTGTTATGCATAGACACAAATACGTACACTGCATTTTATTTGGAAACTGATGTTTTGGGTAAAATCATATATTTGTATATGCCTCCCAGTTTGGAAGCTTGTATTGAAATAAGTATATGATTAAGAACACTTTTAGTGCACTGTGTAGTAATGCTCTCCACACCCCCCCCCCCCCCCCCCCCCCGGCCAAATGCAGTGTTTATTTTGTAAAGTGCAGAGATGGATTTAATGCACTATTTCCCCCTACAGCCCTGAGACCCCCACCCCTGTAACTGGAGAAGCCAATCTGTCCTGCAGTTGAAAAGCTATGCATTGTATATCTGTATGTAGGGAGGCAGGAGGTAAAGAAATGTTTATTACACTTATAATTTGCATGAGCATTCCCTCAAATTGTACTGATGCACTATTTCCTCTTCTGTAGTTGTGCAAAACTGCATTCCGCCTCGGAGATGACGATCCCAGGGGTTCACATGCCCGAACAATTTGGAAGAATGCCTTTGATTTTTAAAACGCCCAGTATGTATCAGGAAAGCAGGAAAAGACGCGATTACGAATAAATGGGAAAGTACAGCACTAAATGCGAAGCAGCCCCCAGGGGTTGAAAACACACACAACGGCAGGACAAACTTAATTCTCTACCTTCCGCGGAATCCTTTCCCAAATTAACTGAGAGTGTGCGTGAGTTCTTCTTTTCAAGGCAAAGTAGGTCTTAGGTTAGAAACCAAAGACAAATCCCTCCAGTGCTTAGAGAGTTAAGTTAGTTATGTTTCTTTTGCAGCTTCCCAGAGAAAGAAAGAAAGACAGACGGAAAGGGGGGGAGGAGAGCACAGTTATCTGCTGGGAGCGTTTCGATCGCTAGCGTCGCCGCTCCCTTTTTCTCTCCCACCGCCGGTTCTCAGTCCCCTCGGTTCTCTGCACCCTGCCTACCTGCCTGGCTCCGCTCGCTCCGTGCAGTCTCCCGTCGCCTCCCTCCTGATTGGGCAGAGGCCCCCCAATCGGCTGCGCGGCTGGGCCGGTGGGACTGCATATGTAAAGCCCTACTTCATATTAATAAGCTCCAATCGGGGCTTTAAGTCCTTGATTAGGAGAGTGTGAGAGCTTTGGTCCCAACTGGCTGTGCCTATAGGCTTGTCACTAGGAGAACATTTGTGTTAATTGCACTGTGCTTTGTCAAGGAAACTTTGATTTATAGCTGGGGTGCACAAATAATGGTTGCCGGTCGCACATGGATTCGGTAGAACTTTGCCTTCCTGAATCTTTTTCCCTGCACTACGAGGAAGAGTAGGTACCTTTTTCTTTCCTTTTTTAAAACTCGTCGTGGGGGTGCGCGTGGGAGGTGTGTGTGTGTGTGGACGGAATGTATCTTTGCACACTGATTCAGGTAATGCCCTGGGTATTTTGTGTGCACGAGTGCTTGTTTGTGTCTGTCTTGTGCCTTTTGTGTTGAGGGTGATCTCCTAATTCAGTAAGTCGAGAATTGTTCTCTGACTACAATGTTACCTTTGAGGCAAAGCTCAGTGACTGTCAGTAAAACAGCTGTGTGACAGTCACTTCTTATTCAGGTGCTAAGAATAGGCACTTGGCACAAATGCTTAGTGAACTGTTAAAATGCATCTTTTACTAGGACCCATTTTCCCAAGGAAAGATGTTTTAAAATACAATATTCAAAATGATTTATACTATTGAGTGCCTCTTATGTATTTGCAGTTTGACAGATATTTTCAGCTCCCTGTCATTTCTTACCGCGCAGAGTTAGAGGCAAAATTGCACATTTACTAATTCTCCTTCAGAGAACAATTTAAAAACTAGCCCTATGCAATTCAGGGCTAGAATAATGTTATTTGCATGGTTAGCGTTAAGTCGGCACTTAACTGACAAATCAGTCCATTAAGTAACATGAGATTTTCACACATTATAAATATTTAAGGGGAGAAAAAACTAAAGAAGAAACACTAGTGACTTTTAAAATTTCCCCTTGAATAGACGATGTTCAGATTGTGGATTTGTGCCATGCTTCATGTCCAGAAAATAGAGAAAAGTACTTTTGTTCTTGCATGCAGTTTAATTCATATTTATGAATATCTTTATGCATATGGGTATATATATGTATTTGGAACCCTAGAGGTGGGGGAGAAGCGTATGGGGGGTAGGACAAGTAAATTAGGCATTCTTGAGTAAACGAGTAGGTCATAAACTTAATTTCAACGCACTGTTAAGATAAAATATTAGTATACCCCGGGAGCTGTCACTGGATCATCTTTCTGTTGAGTCAGTTATATTGCTTTGCTTTCACATTACAGTAATACCAACTGTTATAATTCTGAAAAGAGTGCTCTTGGCAAACATCTCTCTATAGATTGTGAAGAAAATCTAAAACTCTCGAAGACGAGGTAGTGCATTATAGGTAGATGTCCACTAGCTGTCCTTAGTGACTGCATATTGCATTGCTTTGTAATTAAGTCAGAGATGAAAAGTGATTTGCAGTCTTAGTGCCTGCTCGTGTCTGTATGAGTGTGACTGTGTGCATAGATGTGTATGCACACTCGCACGTGCATGCACACACACGCACACACTCACATACACACTCACGCAAGGTATAGTCTCCAAGAGATGGACGTAGGGAGGAACTGAAAGATTGGAAGGTTGTGCCTGCTACACTTTGAAACACTCGAAGCAAGAAACAACCTTAAATTGTGTGAAAATAAAAATGAAAAACAAACAAAGGTAGGACTGCCCACCCAAGTGTAGTCTGAAGGTTGGTGCACCTGGGCTGTAGAATCGGCGAGTCTAAATGTCTTCTCAGGAAGGAGGCGTTATCCAAGCTCACCCAGATTCTGAACTTTCTCCCATAAATAAATAAACAAAACAAACTTTAAAAATCCCCCAGAGGCTTCTTTTTAAAGTAGTTTTCTTGAATTTAACTTCTTATAGCTAATTTGAATAATTAGTTTAGATAAGCCTCTTAAAGCAGATGCATTTAAATGAAATCAGGGCACATGTCCTTTTGGCTTTGGCGCAAGATTCAAACTAGCTTTCTTTTTGGCTCAATTAAAAGTCATCTTTAAAAAATACAGATTTATTGTCTGGATGCAGTTCTGATGGTTACGTGGTTCACTGGACAGACAGAAAGATCTAATGCTAAGCAACGCATCTGCCTCTCTGTCTCAATTAATAAACCACAGAATTTATACATGCTATTAATATTCATAGTAATTGTACTGGGTTAAACCCTATCACGTGTGTGTATACACAGAAATGAAACCAGAGTTATGCAGTTTCAGAGGAAAATATTAGACAATTTCTGTTTTGGAGGCTGTTGAAAAAGATTCATACAATTTATTGACCACCATTAGGAGAGCCTAAAATGTTAACCTATAGCTATGTGTTTTTTATTTTAGGAAATGTGCCAGCACATTAAAGAGCATAATACTTGAAAGCTTGTTTCACATTTAATAGCAGTAATAACTGATAGCATAAATAGATGAAAATAATATATCTGCTCATTTTGACATATGTGTCCGTCTAATCATTCTAAATGAGTGTGCTCATCACATGAATCCCTTTCAACCTCTGATTAAAATGTAACATTGACTACAGGATTATAGAGCGGACTTAATTTTACTGACTGTTTTAACAGTTGTCACAGCTGTTGGAAGAAGGAAAGGCAATTGAAACACTCGAAAACAGGCAAGGCGAGGAGGGAACAGTTTAGTGAATTCAGCCTGATGGTTGAAATCCAGGCATTGCAAATGAAACAGATTTGTGTTTTGAAATACCTGTTTGGAGCTAAACAAGTTTTATTTTGTATGGTCCACTCTTTCTGTGTCAGGGTTTTGATTTTTTTTTTTTTCCCCTTGGCCTCATCTCTCCTTGTTAAAAGCTAACGTAGGTTGAAACACAACTATCCAAAAGTAATACTAGAATGTCAAAATATATGAGATAAAAATAGGCAGGAAGGAAAAATGTATACAGTAACAACAACAACAGAAAGCCTAAATCAGAGCAGATACGATTTTTTTTTTTTAAGAGGAGCTTGCCTAAGTCACTTTAGATATGATATTATTTGAGAACTGTGAACAGATACTTTAAGTTTATTTTTCTAAGACAGAATACCTAAACTCCAGACTTGGAGCTCATACTACTTTTCCTCCTGTTTTTATTGTGTAAATCTGTTGAAAACACCTGCAGCCTTAAAGCTAGGGGGTGTAGGTGGGGTTTTCAGATGATTTCTTTGTAAATTGCTGGAAGTGACAACTAGCTTGCACTTAGGGGTGACTGGAGAGTCTTGTAACCTTGCCCATCACAGCACTAAAGAGAACAGATCAATTCTGTTTTTCTGAAAATATAATAACCACTGTACATATCCCAAACTATGTCCAGACAGTGTGTATTATGTAACATATGATTTTTCTCCCAGGAATAAGCAAAAATAGGTGTCCCTGAGTTAATGGAATAAATATTGAATGGGAGTGGTGAGGAAATGATGGGCCCCCCATGTTTCACCAGCCCTTTGTGTCAGTGCATTTATGTATTACCTTATATACATTTGGTGGTAAGTTTAGAAATCCTCCTTTTACAGAAAGGGCTGGAATACAGCTTTCCCTTTCCTGGGCAGAGGCAAGGGTGATAGTGTTGGCTGGTTCTTATAGTGATGGTTTCTCATCTTAATGTGTTTATGGCACTGCTGCTTTATTTACTGAGCCTAGTGTTGCAGCGGTAATTAACCCATGTTATTAGCAAAGCCCTTGTGGATATCCATTAATTCTCTTGCATGGATGATCATTTTTCCAGTGTTTTCCCCCCAATAAGGTATCATTGTTCTTTTTTTTTTTTTTAATTCTAAATTGACGGCCTTTGATATATTTCTTTGATTTAATCTGACCTGTAATGTATACTGACCATCTTATAAAAAAGGATATTGTAATTCAGCTTTTAAAATTGCTAATAGAAGCTGAAGAAAAGATTTTTTTTGGTTTTCTTTTCGAAGTAAAAAAGAAAAGAAATTAAGGTTTAAAAAGGAAATAATATAGGAAATCAGGCTTACCTCCAGGTTTTCCAGGTTTTAGAATTTACGATAATTTGTGTCTTTGAGGTCTTTTAATCAGATTTTTAGTTAGTTAATAACACTTTAGGCATTTTTATAAAATATTGAGCCAGCAGAAAAATACTTGTGCTTCCTTTGCTGAGAAAAGATAAGGACCATCTCATTAGCTGGGCCATACTTTTGCAATTAATTTTAGATACATGGTGCTATTCATCAAAGAGGGCAGGTAACTTCTCTATGAGTCTATTTAACAATACTTTCACAATACCTTACTCCTGCAAGAACTATAGACAAAGAAGAGACCCTTCTTTTGGAAGGTAGGCATAATTCCCAGTCTCAAGTCCGTATCCCTCGTGAAAAATTCCTCAACATTTGTTTTAGCCTAGTGACTAAAGAAAATATTTCTTTGTTTTACTTTTAAAGTGCTGCGCAGCCCTGAAGGTTTTGCTTATGTGATTTCATAAAACAAATTCAAATCCCTGCTTATGGTTGATACTTTGTCAGACAAGTGGCAATTGATAGCAGTGATTTCTGTCAAACCAATGAATAGCAAATAAACTTTCTAGAACCACCTATTAAGCATTGAAATAAGAGGAGAGCATTTGAGGTGTTTCGACAGAACTTTAAAGTCACTGCAGTAGATAAGCTTTGCTTGAAATTTTGCTTCATCGCAAATTCATGGAAGAGAGAAACAATACAACGTTGATCTGTTATAAGTGCATATGAGCTCCGGCCCTAGCCAGCTCTCTGGAGAAAATCTTTGATTACACTGGCCCAGTGTGTTCAGTTTTTATCTCTTTTACATCCACTGGCCTTGTATTAAATTGTCATTGTCCTAAAGCACAGGAGATAGAAATGAATTGCAGTTCTCTACATTCTCTGACAGTGAAATATTTAGGTTCTCTTTCTCCAATCATACTTATGTGTATATTTGATAGTGCAGTGATGACACCAGGCATCTCTGCTGCTTGACATTCTTCTTATTGCATTTTATGTGTTTTGCTATGGATTATTTTCATAGCCATGTGTGTATGCGTGTACACGGTCTATACAGTTATAAATACACAAATACACACACGGCACTTTAAAATCCAAAGCAGTCGGTAGTATGCACACATGTGTGTGTTTGCCTGTATGGTATGAATGAAGTACGGACCTATAAGGGAAGATGTATATGCGTAGAATAGAGATATGCTGCTAAGAGTGTTCATAATACCTTTATATGACAAAGTGAATC